TCCTGCTGAAGGCCACCCACCTGACCTCCCCACCCCACACTTTCCGCCTGGTAAATACAGGATATCCTGTCCAGGGCCCGAATCTGATGTAAGAGCCTGGATTCTGTGGAGAGGGAAGGCCCTCCCTCCCATTGCCTAGGCTGGGTAGGGAGCATGGCCCAGTCCTGGGTTGGGTTGAGTAGTAGACATGAAGCAGGATGGGGTTTTATTCTGGGTTAAATGTTAGCCAGACTGGCTGCTGTCTCCTTCCCTGCTCTCCCAGGCTGTTTTGGAGTCTGCTACCCCTGAACCCTGTGGGTAAAGAGAGGGTCCATTCCCCAGACCTCATTTCCAGACCAGGACTTAGAGGAAATAATTTCAGTCCTCCTCTTGGGTAGAGTGTGGGGACTTAAGGACATGAAAAAGGGTGTGTGGGGGAGCCCCATCCCCCTTTCCCATGAATCCAAGGAAGTCTTCGTGCCTGACAAGGGCCAAGACAGACCCAGATTGTCCTGGAACAGCCGCCACACCTCCTTCCCCAAAGCTCTTCAGAGATCCTGGAGAAGGCTCCCTTTTCTCCTGAGATCCGCATTCCCCTCCCTGCCTAGGACCCCAGTTGTTAATCTAGCCGGAAAGGCTGTTGTCTCTTCCCTTGTTGTCCACAGGGTTGGCTGAGTAGTGGGAGGCCTATGTGGCTCACTTAGGCTACCTTGCCATTTCTGTTTATTTGACCTCCAATACTAGCCACTTCTGAGAAGACAATACCCTCCTCTGCCTCTAACTGTTCCATTCTGTGACTGTCCTTCCATGCGATTATCACATTACTGAGCATTTTACTATGCACCTGCCAGCCTGCTAAACCCATGAAATGATTAGCTTTTTCATGTCATCATCATAACTGCACTAATTTTCGAATGAGGAAACTAGAGCTCAGAAAGGATAAGTAATTTAAATTTGCCCAAGGTCAGACCACTGGTAAATTAATGGTGGTGGTATGCCTTGGAGTCACTTCTGACTCATAGCTACCCAGCATAGGGTTTCTGAGACTGTAAATTTTTATGGGAGCAGAAAGTCTCATCTTTCTCCCATAAACAGCTAGTAGTCTCAAACTGTTGACCTTGAGGTTAGCAGCCCAACTCGTAACCACTACGCTACCAGAACTCCTTAGGTAAATCAATGGTGGTGCCCATATTTGAACTTAGGAATTTGACCTCTTCAGTATGGCTTCATGCTGCTCTAACTGTAAGGTTCTCATGTGCAGGGTTCTTACACAATAGCCAAGTGTAAGATCTGTAAAACAGAGATAAGGATAGTATCTCCCTCAAAGAACTGGTGTAAGAATCAGATGGGCATTAACAGATAAAGCACTTCATGTGGGGCCTGACCCTCAATAAGTTATTTTTGTTGTTCATACTATTAATTTTTGCTGTTAGTATCAAGAAGAGGGCCATGTACCTAGTGTAAGATCCACAGAGTGACTAGATGATGTTCTTCCATTTGTCAAGGAAGGGGATCGGGTGATGGTGTTGGTCCGGTCAGGGATGTGGCAGGAGGAGGTGACTGTACCCTCAGCCCAGACCTTCCTGATGCCGGAGACCATGACCTTTGAGGAAGCTGCTGCCTTGCTGGTCAATTACATCACAGCCTACATGGTTCTCTTTGACTTTGGCAACCTGAGGCCTGGACACAGTGTTTTGGTACACATGGCTGCAGGTAACTGGCCTCTTCCCTTTATCTCCTCTCCTCACCCCACCCAGATTCCCTTCTAGGCCCCTTTCCTGCAGCTTGGCTGAGCTGTCGTCATGACAACACCAGGCTGCTTTGGCCTGTGGTGCCCAGAAGCCTCTGGAGTGCTGTTGCCTTGGTAACATGCAGGCACCAGGTCCAGCCTAGTGTACTGTCCATATCATAGTGCCCTAGCCCAGCACCCCCTCCTCTCTACCTACCCTGCCCCACATTCTCAATCATGGAAATTGGATATGGGATGAGGGGGGATAGCCCAACCCAAAAATAAGGCAAGATGAGGGTTATAGCCTGGGTCCTTGTGAGGTTAGCCAGGCAGCTGCATATCTCCCACTGGGTGTCTCCACAGGGGGTGTGGGTATAGCAGCCCTGCAGCTGTGCCGTACAGTGGAGAATGTGACGGTGTTTGGAACAGCCTCAGCCAGCAAGCATGAGGTGCTGAAGGAGAATGGGGTCACATACCCCATCGATTACCACACAAGTGACTATGTGGATGAGATCAAGAAGGTCTCTCCTAAAGGTGAGGATCGGGGCATGTGAGGGGTATTGGATGTGGGGGACAGAGAGGGGCTCATTAATCTGCAGATCTTAAAGTTGTCCCCTGGTGTCCTCCCAACCCCCATCTCTGGCAGGAGTGGACATCATCATGGACCCTCTAGGTGGGTCAGACACCGCCAAGGCCTACAATCTTCTCAAACCCATGGGCAAAGTCATCACCTATGGTGAGTTTGGTGGACTGGGGAAGAAGACGGCTATCAGAGGAAGGAGGGTGGGGTTCAGGACGCCAGGCTTTTCAGTGGGAGAAGAGACAGGTTGTCGGGTGCTCTAGAGAGAGCAGCAGGTTGCACGTGGTCCTTGTGTGTTGGCATTCAGATTGCTTTCTTCTGGGTACAAGCTACTGTCTGTCTTTTTCACAACTTTTCATGCCAGTCATAGTTAGTCCTGTGTTTCCTCTGTGCTCCTCTTTGGGGATTGTTTGTGATGCAAAATCAACCAGTTTGTCTTCTCTCTGACCTACCCCATGGGCTTCCTGGGCAAACTGCATTTTCACGTGGAAAACGATTTCACACAAAAGATAAGTCACAGTTACAGCAAATTTGGGCTCAGTGGAAATCGGTGTAGGCCATAGAGCTAATAGGTCGAGGACTACCCTGTCACACTCTGGCACCGGTGTGGATACTTGCCAGGGGATTGCAGGGAGCAGGTGATAGATGCAAACATGCCAGGATGTAGCTAGCATCTGGCTTCACGGTGGTCTGTGCTGCTTCCCTCAGGAATGGCCAGCATGCTGACAGGCCCCAAGAGGAACCTGGTGGCCTTGGCCCGCACTTGGTGGAATCAGTTCAGTGTAACGGCGCTGCAGCTGCTGCAAGCCAACCGGGCTGTGTGTGGCTACCACCTGGGCTACCTGTTGGGTGAGGTGGAGCTGGTCAATAGTGTGGTGACCCGTCTGCTGGCTCTGTACAACCAGGGCCGCATCAAGCCCCACATCGACTCAGTCTGGCCCTTTGAGAAGGTGAGAAGATGTCTTCTGAGGGAGGGCCTGTCTGTAGGACTCCTTAAAGCTGGGGTCCTAAGAGGATTCCTGAGGAAGAGGAGGGCAAACTAGGCGGGCTCTTGTGGGGTCGGGATTGGATGGCTTTGGGAGCAGTCTTTTCTTCTTCTCATCCCTTCAGGTGACTGATGCCATGAAGCAGATGCAGGAGAAGAGGAATGTGGGCAAGGTCCTTCTGGTGCCTGGGCCAGAGAAGGAGAACTAGGGCGAGGGTCTGAGGGACCCTTGGGACCCTGGAAGGGGAAAGTTGGGAAGCCACATTCTGTTGACCATCATTCTCTCCATTCATCCTCTGTCCTAGTGCTCTGCCCCCCACCCCCACCCCAAGGTCTTTATGGTGGTGACCTCTTCCCTGACCTTTCTCTTTAGTCAGGGCTATCCCTCCCCCTTCCTGCCCTCTGAAGAGGTTGGGAAGTGATCACTTGGATATCTGGGCCCTGCCAAAGGGACAAGGAGGGTCAGAGATGGGCAGGAAGCACCCTGCCCCCCACCCTTGCCCTGGGTCTGCTGTGCTGCTTTTGTGCCAAGGTTAGCCAATCCCTACCTGTCCTGTTCTGTGTACTTCCGCCCCTGCCTCATCTCCCTTCCACCCTTGCCCCACCACCTCCCCAAAGAATTGAAATGTCAGCTCAGGATATGGGGGCCAGTCTGTGTGATTCCAGCATGTACCCATCTCCCCAGTGTCCTTTCACCCCCATGCCAACCAGTGCCACCCCTGAACTCTTGCATGGTCCTTCTGCCCCGACTTCTTAAGCACAAATGGGCTTTCTCCACTCTTAGCCAAGGTGGCCCTCTCACCAAGGCTGGAATCAGACCTCTCCCTAGGTCACGACTCTGTGGGAGGGACACAGAACCCCCTCCCCCGCTTCACTGAGTTCTCTGGATCTGTTCTCAGTGCCTTAGCAACGGAAACCTGTGCTTGTGTGCATGTGGGGGGGAGGGGGGTTCCTGTTCTCCCCAGTGCCTTCTCATTCTGGTGGAGCTGGGGTTTCACTCATCCCCAGTTCCACACCACTGCCAAAAATCTGTGTCCGTGCCAGTGAGGAGCAGGGCCCAGGTAGGAGGAGTCCCCCTCGCTGTGGTCTGTGCCATGTCCTATGTCTGGGGCTTTCTGTTGTCTATCGGTGGATGAAGAGGAAGAGGCGGAGAAGGTTTCTCAGCCTTGCAGATATGTGTGGCATTTACCAGCCAGAGCTTTGAGAGGCAGTGCTGTCTGTGTCTTCTTCTGGGACCAAAGTGAAAATCTAAGCACATTCCCCCTTGCTGTCAAGGGAGGCCCCCTCCTGCCTTCTCAGAGCTGGGGAGGCAGCGTTTTCAACTCAGCCCTACACTTTGTTTACATGGGTGGGGAGTTGGCACCGGGAGGGAAGAGGGGGTTAGGACCTGGGCTGCAGGAGCCAAAGTGGGGACCTCCCAGGGGTGTAACTCTCTGCTTTCCAAGTTGGGGTGAGGGATGGTTATTGCCCCAGCCTTGGCCAATGGGAGGTGGGGAGAGGTCTGACCATGCGAAATGCAGTTTCTGCTTTTGTATACCCCACCCCATGACCACAGCTGCCTTTGTGTTTGTGTCAATAAAAAGCCAAACCCTGGTCCTGAACGTTGCCTCTGAGAGTGGGAGGGAAGGTGAGCTTGGGGAAGGCCTACTTATTAGCAGGAGGCTTCTGCCCCCCACAACCCTCCTTTCCAGGCCCAAATCAAACTTCTTGAAACAAAATGAGGAAGAACAGCATGCCACCCAGGCACTTTTACTGTTGTTGGGCAGTGTTTCGCAATTTCTAATCCCTGCCCCTATGATAAGCGAAGCAATCTCTCTCTTACAAGCACCCACCTTCAGCCCAGTTTGAGAATCTTAGCAGAGGGGGTAGGAGGCGATGAGAAGAACAGTCCTCTAAACTGACAGTGAGGTGAAGACTGCCATGCCCTGGTGTCCAGGGGGCACGACTTTCAATGTCTCCACCTCCCCACCCCCACGGGTGGGCTTCTGGAAGTGGATCTCCAGGACATCGTGGAGCTCTGGGCCATCCATGACATCAGGGATGTTGAGCACCACCACTGAGCCTGCCACTGGCTGGAAGGAGATCTAGGAAAAGAACAGAGAGCTAGGCAAAGGCTCATGGGAGTAAGAGGCTAGGCCAGAGGTCAGGGCAGGCAGTGCTCCATGGGAGTCTAGGAGTCTGGATGCCTAGAAGGCTGCTAGTAGGTAGGTCAGTAGAGTTCAGGAGACTCTGTTCCTTCTTTGGGCAAGCTTTTGGTGGGCAGACAGGTTACCCTGGCCCGGCCACGATTCACCAACTTCCTGCTTACCTCAGCTTTCTGGATCTCCCCACTCATGTAGGGAGAGACTCTTAGAAGGAAGTGCCGCCCACACAATGGCACCTTGAACTGGCCAGTCTGGCACAGACGCTGAGCCACTGTGGAAACAGGGAAGGGGCAGACCCTTAGCATCAAAGCTTCCTCCTCTTTGTGGGCTAATGCACCCTGTCCACAGGTCTGCTGGGCCCTTACCTCCATCCTCTGCAAATCCCAGCATGACACCCACTTGCAGGAATTCTCGAACCTCCACATCACCGCCCCCGTTGCTGGCCTTGCCAAAGAAGATCTCCAGCTTGTCCAGCAGCTGCTCCTCACTCAACTTGAGCCCTACAGGAATCCCACTGACCAGCACCCTCCGGTCATCGATCTGACTGGATACCTAGGGTGAGACAGAAGGGAGTGCTCGCAGGCATAGCCCCACTGCAGCATGCCCAGGTCCACAGCATGCCTGCACCTCCTGTCACCTGGATGGTGGTCACCATGGGCAGCTCTAAGGGCTGGACCTGCACCCGCAGCCGACATTCTTCCAGGCAGATCTCGTGTTCCTTTTGTTGCAGCACTTGCTTGGCCACTGGATGGAGGAGCAGGGTCAGTACTGGGAAGCTTTCCAGATCTTAAGCTGAGCCTCCACCTACCCAATTCCACCTCACCCACACTGCCCAACTCACCCTCAGGGTCATCGAAGGTGACCAAAGCAGAGCCTCTAGGCAGAGGGCTACAGATCCGTAGGTTGGAAAGCAAAGACTTGGGCCCTTCCTTGCCCTGCTGAGTGTGGCCTCGAAATACAAAAGGTAACTCAGGACATGGGAACGGGACCTAGATTTGGGAGAAGGGAGGTCAATGCAGCCTAAAGGGTGTAGAGTTTCCCACTCCCTCCCAGGAGGAAAGCACCCCACTGGACAGATGCTGAGGAGGCCAGGGACACAGGTATACAGAAGAAGAACCGGATGAGTGCAGGTCAGGCACCACGCTGGACACCTGCATACAAGGTCTTAGTTTGTCCTTACAAGCTCCCAAGCTCTGAGTAGGTAATTGCACTTTTCAGATAAGAATGAGGCAGCAGAGAATTCAAATAGCATACTTGAGGTCACACAGCAAGAAAGTGGCAGAGCCAGGAGTGAAACTAAGAACTGCCCATTCCCCAGCTCTTTCTCACCTTACCTTGTCTTGGGGGCAGTTCCCAGATTCCTTTCTCAGCTTTTGCAGATCATGAAGCCTCTTCTTTAGTCTGGTCTGCTCTTCCAGAAGGATGCAGCAGGCCTATGGGAATGGAGAGCGCCAACCAATGACGTCACTTTTTGTTGTCATGTGCCGTGGAGTCGGTTCTGACTCATAGTAACCCTGTACAGGGTTTCCAAGGCTCTAAATCTTTATGGAAGCAGAAAACCTAGGGTTGGTGTAACCCACCCTTCCCCGACATCAATTTCCTCCTGCACTGAACGATACAGAATCCTTTTTTGTTGTTTAGTACCGTCAAGTCAGTTCTGACTCACAGTGACCCTGCATAGGGTTTCCGAGGAGTGGCTGGTGGATTCGAACCACTGACCTTGTGGTTAGCAGTCCAGTGCTTATCCTACAGAATAGGGCCCTGTTCCCCTAGGCTCATTTAATTTCCGGGACGGCAGATAGACGTCTGGTTGGTCCTAGTGGTTTCAGTAGGGGAGTAAGGAGCGTTGACCAAATTGGGTGACACTGTCAAAAAGGGTGACACCAAAATTATTGTTTAAAATGTTTGCTGTGTGCCAGCAGAAATTATTATTTATAAAAATATCCCTGTAATAATTGTTGTTAGCTGTCAATTTGGTTCCAACCCACAGTGATCCTGTACCCTACTCATAGCGACTCTATAAGATTTCTAAGGAGTAGCTGGTAGGTTTGAACCACCAACCTTACAGTTAGCAGTCCACTGCTTATCCAACAGCACCACACCAGGGCTCCTGTTAGTTCTCTAGTACTGCTATAACAGAAAGACCACAAATGGGTGGCTTTAACAATTTCTTTTCTCTCCATTTACACGGTTAGGAGTCTGAGTTCAGGGCGCTGGCTCTGGGGGAAGGTCCTGGGCTCTGCTGCTGCTCCTTCAGCTTCTGGGTGGTCTTCTTGAAGTGTAGCATCTCTCTTCCCCCATCTCTGCTCTGCTATCCTGTTTAATCTCTCTTATATCTCAAAAGGAGTCCTGGTGTGGTGCTGTAGGATAAGCACTCAACTACAAGGTCCCTTTGGAACACAAGGTCGGCAGTTCAAACTCACCAGCTGCTCCTCGGAAACCCTATACAACGTCACTATGGGTAGAAACCAACTCAGTGGCACTTAACAACAAACAACATATCTCAAAAGAGATTGACTCAAGATATACCCAATACTGATCCTGCTCATTATCATAACAAATCCATTCCCAAATGGATAGACATTACGATTTAGGAAACATAATTTGGCAGGAGGAGCTCTGGTGTAGCTCTGTAGGATATGCACTGGACCACAAGGTCAGCGGTTCAAACTCAACAGCTGCTCCTTGAAACCCTATACAGGGTTACTATGAATTTGCAACCCCTGATTTACCACTACTCAAGGATACTTAACAACAACAACATTTGGTGGGGGGCATAGTTCTAGTAGGAAGAAACCACACTGCTGAGTTGATTCTTAACTCATAGTGGCTTTACAGGACAGAGCAGGGCTGCTCTGTAAAGTTTCTGAGGCTGTGATCTTTCTGGAAGCAGACTGCCCCATCTTTCTCCTGTGGGGCAACTGGTGGGTTCAAACTGCTGACTATTCTGTTAGCAGCTCATTGCTTAACACATTGTACCACCAGAGTTCCTATAAGGAAGAACGATGGATAATGTCAGCTCAATGAAACACACTTAGAAGTTCTTAGAAGATGGAACTGTCCTGGTCATTTTTCTGTTCCCAGTTCCCAGTGTCTAGTAAACTCCCTGGTATACAACAGGTGTTCAGTAAATACGTATTGTGTGAATGAATGACAGGATAGGTACAAATGATAAAGAGCACTAAAATCTAGTGCTTGTGGTGTGGCGCTGTAGGATCAGCACTAGACTGCAAACCACAAGGTTGGCAGTTCAAACCCACCAGCTGCTCCTTGGAAACGTTATACAGGGTCACTATGAGTTAGAACTGACACAAAAGCACTTAACAACTACAACAAAATCTAGCGTAGAGTATGTCTATTTTAAGCAGAGGAAAACTAGGGTTTGACCAAATTATGCTGGTTTATGAGTGGTGAAAAAGATACCTAGTTATTTATATTTCTGTAAGTCAGGGGTTGCGAACTCATTGCCTTCAGGGATCAGTTAAGGACACCAGTGCATCAGGGAGAAACCATAGGGAGTCTCAGGGGCTCTGACAAAGCAGGGCGTGCATTGGGCTCACTAAAATGGGAAACCTCTTTTATCACATAGGCACGCAGTTCCAGCAATTTAAAGGAAGCCAGAAATCTGGATTTTTATTTTAAGAAGATGATTCAATTTTTTGGAGAAAGAAGGAAGAATGCTGTTACATTGAGAGAATCTTAACTAATGCTATGAAGCAATGTGTGTATACATTGTTGAATGAAAAACGAGTTTGCTTTGTAAACTTTTACCTAATTTCAAAAATTTAAAAAGAAAAAAAAAAGGGAAGAAAATTGAATTGAATATATATATAAATTCCATCCCACACTGTGGGTGGAACTGTAAAATGGTACAACCACTGTTGAAAATGATATGGCACTTCCTCAAAAAGTTGGAAATAGAAATACTGTATGACCCAGCAATCCCTGTATTTGGTATATATACTCAAGAAATGAGAAGCGTGACATGAATAGGTAAATGCACACCCATGTTCATTAAAGCACTACTCACAATAGCAAAAAGATGGAGATAACTTGAATGCCCATCAACAAAAGGATGCTTAAACAAACTTTGGTGCACACACACAATGGAATATTATGTACCACTGAAGAATAACGATGAATCTGTGAAACAACTCATAACAAGAATGAAGCTGGAGGACATTATACTAGTGAAGTAAGGCAGCCAAAAAGGGCAAATATTGTATGAGATCTGTATTGTAAAAAGGTAATAAAATTGTTTTTTTTGATAAAAGAAACATTCCACGATGGTTACCAGGGGTGGGAGGGAAGGGAAAATTATTCACTGGGTAGAGGTTGCTATTGTTGTTAAGTGCTGTGGGGTCGGTTCTGACTCATAGTGACCCTGTATAGGGTTTCCGAAGAGTGGTTGGTGAACTTGAACTGCCTACCTTGCGGTGCAATCTGGCCCATTAACCCACAGCAAAAACCAGAAGTTAGACACATGTTAACCTGGGCGATAGGGAAGGCAATAGACAACAAGAGGGAAGTAGGAAAGATGAAGGTAGTATAAGACACAGGGGGAAGTCCAAGAGTTAAAGTGAATAGAGGTAAACACTGTGAACTGATGCTACATGGAAGGGACTGCAGTCATTGTAATGACATGAAGTGTGTGATTTGTTGAATGTGGGACTGATGCTGTGTTCTGTAAAGCTTCACTCAATTCACAATAAAAACCAGGGAATTAATGCAGATTTCTAAAAGGGGAAGTGATGCAAGGAAAATGGCATTTAAAGTGACCAATCTGTGAGCCTCTTTGGTGCCTGGATGCAGGTGGGCTTGGCTCTAGACCTCCGGAACCAACAGATCCACCAGACCAGCATTTAACCATCGCCTTGCTCCCAGCTGCCCTGTGGTCCTGACAGACACTGAAACCAGCTCCATCAAGGACCCCCACAAACTACTTCCTGATTGAGTGCCCTGAACACAGAGAAGGAGGCCTGTAGGATCTCTGCTGCCACATCCCTCCCACACCCACCTCCTGGGCTTGCAGGAGCCCCCAGAGTTTTCTCCTCTCCAGGTCCAACAGCTACACTGTTTGTATTTTGGGGTTTAATTTTCCCTTTTCTTGTTCCACTGTTTTTGTTTGCTTTCCCCCTCTTCTTCTTCTGTTTCCATTCCCTTGAGTTTTATCCTATCTCTGTTGTTGTCCTTTTTTAATTGTTTCTCATTTCCCCTCTTCTCTTTTTCCCTTTTGATCATTTTTTATTACTCTCTACTCTCTTTTCATCTTCCCTTACCCTAGTTTTTATAAGTCTTTTTTTTTTCCTTTTCCTTCCTTTTATTGTTGTTAGTGCCATCGAGTTGGTTCCGACCCATAGCGACCCTGAACACGGTTTCCGAGGCTGTAAGTCTTTACGGGAACAGAAAGCTTCATCTTTCTCCCACAGAGCTGCAGGTAGTTTCGAACTGCTGACCTTGAAGTTCGCAGCCTGATTGGAACCACTACGCTACCAGAGACCTCTCTTATTTTTCTCTTCTATAGGTCCACTTTCCTGTCCCTTTTTTCTCTTTGTAACTATTCTTAAGTGGTTTTGTCTTTTAAATTTCTTCCTTTTATTTTCTCTTAGAGTTCTATTTCCCTGCCCCTTTTAAGTCTTTAGAGTTATTATGTGCATTTTTGCTGCTTGCTACCTGTTTTTCTTTTTCTTTTTTTTTTTCCCTCTTTATTATTTCTTCTTTTCATTACTGGTTCCTTGTTTGTTTATTCGCTTCTGTTTTAATGTGTGTGTGGGGTGGGGAGGGATTTTCTCTTTCTCATCCAACAGGAGACAGCAACCTTGCCCATACAGCCCAGTCACACCTGTACACAATGCACAAGTACCAGCTCCTATGCTACCCAATCAATGACAGACAACAGCCAAGACCAGCAAGACCCACCCTAAACTGAGGTGCATGAATGGTGAACAAGAACAGTGTGCATGCTTCCATTCTCTAACTACACCCCCAGGAGACCGCTGGTGAGAACCTAAGAACACACCAACATAAAATGATTAATTAAGTGCAAATATGATAACCCCACAATGGCCTGGAAACACTAGACAATTTTCACTCACATGAAGAAACAAGAGAGACTAACTCAAACAAATGACCAAGATGCAGAGCCAGAAAATGTTTCTGAGGAAGAAAAGGTAATGGAACTAACAAAAATAATTCAAAAGACTAATTAGGTGCCTCCAAAGTATTGATAGATTGAGAGAAGTAAGGAGAACATAGTAAAAGCTTTGGAAGAACTCAGGAAAACACTGTAAGAACAGACAAAATAAATGCAAATTTTGAAACAATACAAAACCTACAATTAGAAATCCAGAAGATTAACACTAAGCTCTTATAGACAATACATTGAAAGTTCAAAGGAGTAGCTGTGAAGAAATGGAAGCCTGAATTAGTGAGCTAGAAGAACAATCAGAAAAAAGAATATATAAATCCGAAGAAAGTCTGAGTTATGTGGGACACCATGAAGAGGAACAACTTAACAAGTGATTAGAATTCCGGAATAGGAATACACAATAAAAAGCACAGAGAAAATCATCAAAGAGTAGTTGTCCAAAGAAAACGTCCCTAACAACATGAAAGACAAGAAGTTAAACCCCAAAAGAAAATCCCCAAGACATATCATAATCAAACTTTCCAAAGACAAGTAAAGAATCCTGAGAGCACCTCAGGAAAGACAAAAAGTTACTGGTAAAGGAGAACCAATTAGACGAAGCTCTGATTTCTCAGCAGAAATCATGCAGACATAAAGGCAATGGGATGACATAAAAAAACTGAAAGAAAAAAATTGCCATCCAAAATTGTATGTTCAGCAAAGCTGTCCCTAAAATACAATAGATAAATTAGGATATTTCCTGATAAATAGAAATTAAAGGAATTTTTAAAAAGAAAACCAGCTTTATAAAAAATGCTGAAGGGTATTCTTTGGACTGAGAAAAACAACCTCAGATTACCATAATGACAACACTGCCCAGAACTCAGTTCAGATATGCTGGTGGTGTTGGTAAGTGCCGTCAAGTCGGTTCTGACTTATAGCGGCCACATATAGGATTTCTAAGACTTTACATTTTTGAGGGAGCAAAAGGCCTCATCTTTCTCCTGAAGAGTGACTGGTGGGCTCGAACTGCAGACCTTGTGATTCATAGTCCAGTGCTTACTGTATGGTTGGTTAGGTGATTAAGTGACATTGAGTCAGTTCCAACTCATAGCTGAAACCCTGTATGGGGTTTCTGAGGAACAGCTGGTAAATTTGAA